CAGGAGCCGTTCCTCAGCTCCTTGGAGAAATTCACCAGGCGGCGGCAGCGGGGGAATTGTGGGAATTGCGGGAATTGCAGCCCCGTCCCCACGCTCCAGTGTGGAAATGACCACTTGAGCCCCAGTTTAGCCCGGAGCCCGCCCCGTGCTGCCCCTGCGCTCCCCACCTGGGGAGGGGGCTCATTTGCAGTTAAAAATCTATTGTGACTTGTCAGAAAAATGAATAAATGAGCACATTATTTTTTCATTCCGGAGCTCAGCATCTGTTTGTCTAATCAAGAAAGAGAACTGGGAAAGTCAACCAGGGCTGACGCACACGTTTTATTTAACTTTTCCTCTGTCAAAGGAGTTTAAATGTGTAATGAACAGGCCATGGTGATTTGAAATATAATCCCATTACTCTGATGAGATTACCAAGGCTGTGAGAGTTCACAAATCATGCTTAGGGTTTTTAGAGTGAACAACACCCTGTTGAGATCCTTTTTTTCCTCCTCTCTCCTTTTTGCATTTAAGTAGAGGTGTGCATGGAGAATAGAACATGACAGGGCTTAACCCTTTGGGCAGCAGCACAGGGCTGTGCCTGGTGCCAGCCCTCCCCATGGCTCAGCTGCTTCAGTGGCCCCGGGCAGGGGGCAGCACCCAGCACCTTGTGCCCATTGTGCCCGCGCATCCCTGTCCTCGTCTCTGTCCTTGTCCCAGCCTGCACTGGGGTGTGATTTAAGGGGCATTAATTTTAGCCGCAGCAGCAGCAGCAGCACCCAATACCACACGCCACCACAGCAGCGCGGGTCCATGAAATTCATGGGCCCATTACAAACATGTCTCCATAAATAACCCCCCCCATTCATCTCAGGGCTGCACACAGGGCTGTGCGATGGGTTTTGCCTCCTGCTCCTGGCCGGGTCCCAGCTCTGCCACCGTTACCTGAGGGGCAGCTACAAGAGCCCCTGGGATGCGCCACCAACTTAAACCCAAAGGAGCCTCTGGCTCCCGCTGCTCCTGCAGAGTTCATGGCAAACTCCTACAAAGCCCTGGGAAGCTCGGGCTCTCTCACCTTGGTGCCGGCACATGCCTGGGTGCCTCTGACAAAAGGTTTCTCAATACTGATGAACCTGAGGAGGTGGTGGGGGCTCATCTCCATGGGCAGCACTTGCTGCGGCGGCAGCAGCCTTGGCCACCCTCACCTGACCGACTGCTCCTGAGCCAGCAAAGCCACTCATCGGCTGTTTATTTGTCCACAAATCTCCCAGACAAATGCTCAGTCACTCTCAGAGCACAACGAGGGACCTCAGCGCCTCTCCACAAAGGGCACCTGCATCTCCTGCTGGATTCGGGCTCCTCCGAGCACCACTGCTTGTGCAAAGGTGGGCAGCAAGTGCCAGCCCAGGCTGAGAGCAGCGCAGAGGCACCAGTCCCTTGGGGCTGATGGTACCGGGAGGGAAACCTCTCTCTGGTTGGTGGCACCCACTGTGTCACCCCCTGAGTCTTCCCGCATCCGTGCCCGTGACAAGGGCAAGCCTACACTTGGCTCCATGAGGTGCAGTCAAAGGTGAACCCTCAGGTGCATGTGCTGCAAGCCAGGTCCAACACCCGAAGTAAGGGAGTCAGAAACCCTCTGATGCCTCCAACAGCTACCGATGCAGTAAGAAACCATCCTCGTTACGTGCGCGGCAGCCACCCTCTCCTGCCGAAGCCCGGTAACAAGGCACGGAAGGAACAGCTTGCTTTTCTGACCCAGTTGAATGCCCATCTGAATCAATTAAATCTACAACTACCGGGGAAAGACCAGCCCGTGATGGATTTGTGTTCAGCTGCGCACAGATTGCAACCATGAGCTCGGATTTAACTCTTTCAGCAAACACTGAACACCAGAGAAGCCCGTTATGAGGGAGGGGCTGTTCATCTCTGAAAAGCTGGACATGTCTAGAGTTTAAGGCAGGTTTCCTCCACACCTCGTATTCAGCTGAAGCTGATCTTTGAAAGTAAATTCACTTCTTAACTGTGAAAGGCTCTTTCAGATCAAATAAACTCATTCTGGGCTCCATACTTTGCCCATTCCCTATCAAGCCCTTGAGCACCCTCCAGCAGCAGTGTCCCACCCCTGCTGTGCTTCCTGGAGACACGCTGCGTGTCCTGGCTCCGCTGGGAGGCTCCACTACAAATACAGCACGTGGAAGGTGATTTATGAAGAGGTATAGATGCACCTAGTCCAGACAAGTGACTATGAGCCCACAAATATTACCACAGTTTAGACAGCAGAGGGTTCTTTATTAGGTGAATCTTTGGGCTTAACTGAAAGCAAAACACTCCACATAGTGAATACCTACTTATAATAAATAAATATAATTAGGTGGTAACAGCATTACAGCCAGAGGAAGAAGTTGGAGACTTGGGTAGTTTCAGTTTAGTTCAGTTAAAAAGAATTGAAACTGTGTGGCAAAAGAACATTCACATAACAACTTTAATGTTAAATAGTTCACAAAGTTGGTTAAAGGAGTCATTTACATTGCATTAGTTGAAGGGTCTTTCCCCATTGCATCTGTGCTGCATTTGCACATATAAAATATAAAAAAATTTAATATCACACTATAAAATATTGTTTCTCTTGTTCTGCAGGTATCATGGAAGACTGTACAGTGGACACTGGCCTCTGTGGTGCGGGCAGGGCTCCCCTCGGGGGCAGCACCGACACCGGCGCCAGGAGGGATAAACCTTTAAAAACCAAGAACTTACACGTGACAGGTAAGTGACAAACAGCCCTCTCGGCCTCAGTGTTAATTCCTAAAGCACGCGTTAAGGCTCAGCAAGTTTTCTCTATACAAAAGCAGGGTAAGAGGCTGTAAGAGGCTGAGCTGGGCGGCAGGAAGGCGCCTGCTCAGCCCCGGACCCGCAGCACCGCAGCCAGCCCAGGCTTGTTCTTGATACTAAATCCACAGGAGCTGTGCAGAGAGCTCCAGCTTCAGCGACTTGGAGAGATTTGGGAAAGACACCTCTGGTGAACTGAACCAAAACTGCAGGTCCCAGCAATCCCTTTCACATGTTCCCTGATGTACTAGGGATGGACAAGGCCAGAAAAGTTACAAATCCCAGTACAAAGCAGGTCTTAATTTTTATTATTAAAGAATAATATTAAGAAAAGGTGAAGGCATTTCTCAGTCCTCAGGTGCAAGAAAGGTCTCAGCAAGGAAGGGCAGATCCCAGTGCACTCCAGTGGGCAAGAGGATGCTCCTGCTTCGACCGTGAAGACACTGCCTTGGGTTTCAAAACATGGTGCTGACCACAGGCAGTGACCTCTGATAACACGTATGCAGAGCTGAAAAGCACAGTTAAATAAAAGCATTTCTGAACAAAACAAACCACGACAGGCTCGACTGCCTCAACGTTTCTTCACAAATGGGCTCCCCTGCAATGGCTGCTGTTCCCTGGCTCACGGTTGCCTCCTGCACTTCAGCAACAGAAGTGAAACCATCTGGGACTACAGCCTCCCCCCAAAAGAACTGTGCATCATGTGGACCTTGAAAAAGATTACATCTGTTTATTAATAGTAAAAATGGATACATTTGTCCTACATTTTGTTTTTAGAAATTTGATCATGTCACAAGCAATACCTGTGTGTACGTGGGTGTATTACAGATGTATATAATTTATTTTAACCAGGCTGTGAAATAATACGTAATCACATCTCTTCTTGTGATTGTACATAATACAGTAATTAAATGATGCCAGTCTACGTCATTCTCTTATTTCTAATCAAAGGAACCTGAAGCGTAATAGTCTTCTCTCCGGCTGATATGGCTCTTTATTTTTGTCACAGGGGAGACTTCCCATCACCAATGAGGGATAATCTTCCAGCCGTGAGACACGGGATAATGCAGGTTTCTCCCCGCTGCTCCTGCCCGTTGGCAGCAGGAGCTCCGCAGTCCTGGCTCCCACCTGTCTCGGGCGGTGGGGAGCATCTCCTCCTCCCAACGCGGCAGTCAGGCTCTCCTCGAGGCTAAGTGTCACTGCTGTCCCGACTTCTTCTCCTTCTGGAAGCTAAAGCTTGTTCTCCTGCTCAGTTTTCTTTGTTTCTGAGCAAAATAATCTGCTCTGGCTGTGCTTGCTCGCGACTCTAGTATATAGTTAACCTGCAAGACACGAAATGGTGCTTAATTTTGTTGGTGCTTTAGCAGGCAGCAACCCTCATGCCACCAACTGCATGAGGCTCTAGTGAAACTGGTCCCACTGGGTTGGCAACAAAACCATGGCAGAGACGGCTCCTGGAGAGCCCCACTCAGCACAGGGCCACTTCCAACTCTCCCTCTGCAGCCCGTGGCTTGGCACAGGAGCATCCCTCTCCCCTCGTCCCACCCTTGTCACCCAACCTCTGGGTTAACACAGCAGGTCGTGAAGACCCACAGTGCTGGTCTAATATAGTAATGGGCTTCAATAAAAGACTTTATCAGCTTCAATAAAAATAATTCTTTCATTATGATGTTTGCATACTCAGCTAATCTCATAGTTTCCCTGTGTTTTGGCACATTGTACTTGATGAAAGCATTTTTAAATGATATTTAACAAGCCTGCTATTCCCTAAATTTATTATCTCCAGTGCTTTGTGATAATCACATAGATAATTTTAATGGAAGGTTAATGCAAGAATCAAAAAGATAAAAATGCCCTTTGGTCTGCCATTAGCTGGTTAATATGCTGTGGCTTAAAACTTGCACAATTTTATGCACTGTAGAGTGTTTCACTTTCATTGCGTATTACAGCTTAAGGCATAAAAATATAGGGAATTTTCATGGTCAATAAAGCCTCAGTCTTTCTCACTTGATCATGTAAAAAGCCTAATTTGAAAAGTCTGATTTCTCCACATCTCCTAATGCTGATGGAATCGAAAACAAACTGGTAACTTATGCATGAAACCAGAAAATGCGCTACAGAAACAACCTGCAACTTAAGAAAAAAAGTACTGTTCAATAATATTTCTCTCTTGAATATTCATGTTATTCAAAGGAGCCCTTTTTTAGCCTTCTTTTATGACCACTTTCAAATGTGTCAAGGTGTTCTAGGTTACATCAGCCCATTTAAGATAAAGTACGAACACAGGAATTGGCCCAACAGTTCACAAAGTCGAAACCCTCCCAAATACATTCACTTTCTATGTTATTAATAAAAATTGTTGTATCGTATGCCAGTTATTTAGCAATCTTCTAAACTCCACACAGAAATGGAAGCAAAGATAACAGATGGTTTGCCAAAGTTACCGCTTTTTAGATTTTGAATTGCTATAAAATATTAGCTCATTAGAATTAAACTTAATCTTCCAAGACTGTTGGAAAAATTTGTTTCAGAAAGCAAGCCAGTGTGTGCATGGACAGAGCCACGAGAAAAGCAAACAACTCTGATAACTATCATGGTGAGAAAAACAACCTTTTTGCTTTCCATCTGTGTTTGGAGAAGATGCGTGAAAGGCAGGAAACCAGCACTGTCCTGGCCATGCCAATGCCTCTGCTTGGGCCAGCGCTGGAGCTGCCAACCCAGCATCAACCCATGGCCTTGAACATCAGTTTTGCTGGAGCCCTCCTGAACTCTAACTCTGGCTCCAAGAGATCTCGTGGTGCCAGGACCTTTGCTCAGCCTCCTGTGCTGCTGCTGAGCTCCACACCAGTTCCCTACAGACCAGGCTGGCTGCTCCTGCGCCTCCCTGTGGTCCCAATTCGGTGCTTACATGAGCTGGGTGCCCTGCCCAGGTCTCTGTGCCCGGGTGCTGTGCGGGCAGCCAGACAGCAGCACCGTGGTGCTGTGCAGGGTAGAGGTCCTGGGGCAGCACACCACCACGACACGGGGCTTGCAGACCATCTCGTGTGTCTGGGGGTGGAAATGATGTGGGCACAATAAAATTAGGCAGTTTCCTGGAAAATTCCACAGAAAAACGGTGTCTCTCTTAACTAGAAACAAGTATAAAAGGAAATATTTATATACAAGTAGACAGTCTGCTGTATGGCTGTTTGAGTGCAGGGTAGAGGTCCTGGGGCAGCACACCACCACGACACGGGGCTTGCAGACCATCTCGTGTGTCTGGGGGGGGAAATGATGTGGGCACAATAAAATTAGGCAGTTTTCTGGAAAAGCTGTTTGAATAATGAATAAAACAATAGATACCAAGGAACTAGCCTGGTAAGTTAAATACACCTTAGTGGTCCTCAGGCACTACTCCACTGTTCATGTATTCCAGAGCCTTTCGAACACTTTCGTGTCTAACAAGTGGTGAAACACCCAGGATTTTGGGTCACGTTAAAATTTAATACTCACCTTCAGTACAATTTCATTGACAGTAGCAGCATCTGATTCAAAGTAAAGGTGTTTGTAGTCATGATTGCTTAGATATGTAAGTTTAAATATTGCATGACCTGCAAAGATAAGAAAAAAAACCTGCTCAGAATATTCCTGTAAAGTTTCAGTGGAGCCTGTGTGCCTGACAGAAGAAAAACACAGATGGTGATCTTAGCATACCATCAGCACAACAGAAGGAAGTAATGAAACGCTGACAGGCTTCTCATGTCATTTCAATTTAAGGCAAGTGGTGGCTTACAGGAGCAGCTGAACTCTATTCAATAAAGTTCCTTTTCCCATCACATCCCCACTACAGGAAATGCAAAAATCTATCAAATGGCTGGTTAGCTCCCATTCAGCCCAAGACTGTATTTCAGTTAAACTACCACATTAGGACTACTTTATGTAACTATTCACTGTATAATCATCTCATGCACAAGAGAAGTGTTATATTTAAAATAAAAGGCCAATTAACCCCAGAATCACCACTCCAACAACCTCTCCCCTAAACATCACCCAAACCTACCCACTTGCTTACAGCAAAGGGAAACATTGCCACTGGGAAATACAAAAGGATGCAGTAATGATGCTATCAAACATACTCAGAACCAGGATTCTCACTTCCTACAAGCAGGACAATCAAAATTAAAGTGTAACTGTGATTTCTATCCATGCAGAACTTCGCTGGCAGGTTTTGCTGCTAATCCAAATGGAGGTTCCAAGGGACTGAATGGACATGAGGTGCTGATGGCCTGGTCAGCCTCTGTGGCTGCATTTGGAGAACAGCTCAGGAGCTCCTACCCTTTAAAAGTGCTGCAGGCAGGACAGGAGGATGGCTTTAACAGCAAGGTCTCCATGCAGAACATATACAAAGGCAAAATATCCTTCACTTGTATGGACGTTCATGGCTTCAAAATGAAAATTAAGCATATTCTATACTTTTCCATCAGTTTTCTCATGATGTATTCAGTTCTAAAGTCAAAGTTAGTAATCTGTAAAGTAACAGCCACGCTACTGTAAATTCAGGGCTTCCCTGGAGGAAAGCTAATCTGAAATCTTATTTACATTATCTAATTCTCCAGATTTCCAAAAACTGACTGATATATGCCCAGATCCGGTGGCCAGAAAATTTGAGACCCAAGTATTTTATTGTGGCATGTTAATTAACATGTTAATCTGGAATATAAATTCTATATTGAAAAATTGGCTAATAATAATAATAAAACCCCCCTTTAAATCATTTGACAAATGATGCCTCAGCGGTACTAAAAATGCGGGAATTCCTAGCCCGAGCTCATCAGTATGTTAATGCATGCACGCCCGGCTCCAGTCCGGACTGAATTCAGCATCTTTATGATTCCAAAAGTGCCTGTGCACCATCCCTGGTGACAGGACACAGCACCGTGCCCCGTCACCTACCACAGTTTTCCTTGGACATTTAAAAGCACGCAGTTCCAGAAACTGAAAACTAAAAATGACAATTCATAGGGCGCAAAATATGGTCTGGAGGATTCCAACAAGGTTCTTTGTTTTGGATCTTGGAAGTTCAAGGGGTGGTTCCTGGTGTGGATCAAGACTCCCTTCACCTGGTTTAGATTCTTCGTTCCATGTTTTCTTCCACCTAAGAAGCCCCATGCTGATCCTGCCTTGCTGGCTGCTCCGGAGCTGCTGTCCCTACCTGGCTCAGCTGGTGGGAAAGGTTGGGGGGCTCTGAAAGTGCCAGAAGCTGACCCCCTTGCTTCCAGCAGAACGGCCTCGCATCTCATGGCTCCTGTCTCCAGGCTGCTCCATGATGCCAGCGGCACACAAAACCTCCCAACGTGTTCACCTCTTACACGGTGGAGAGCAGGCTGCGTGTGTGCAGGGAGCAGCAAGAGTCAAGTGTGGTGCTGGCGTGCTCCTCTCAGCTCTGCTGCCCCACATGCATCGCCCCACAGAGGTAGGGCACAGATCACAGGACAAAGTACTAATGATCACAGCCTCCATCATGCCTGATAAGGAAATCCTCCCCAGAACCCCATTTTAGGTTTAAGGTGGTAATTTACTCCTCCTTTCTGGCAAAAGCTTACAGCTGATAGAAGCAGAACACTTTTATTTCAGGCACTTATTTTAGGATTGTGAAGAGTCAGCTCTTTCAATGACAATTAGAGCCACAGATGCCAATAACAATCCTGATGTGCCACACAGCAGGAGGCAGAGCTTGCCCTGCTCCCTCGTGCCACACTAGCACCACACACCCCTCCACATAGCCAAGGGCAGCGTGTGTGCTCCCAGTCCCATCAGTACGGAGGCTGTGCTGGTCCCAGCCTCTCTGGCCAGGCGCTGGCTGAGCTGTGGACCTGTGCTCCATCTAACCTAGTCCTATGCCCTGACAGGTGACAGATTTAGTGGCAAGAAGCTAAGAAGACTTTTCTTTAGAAAGCCCCATTACAGCATTATGTTTATGTGCTCCAAGTCCACATTATACTGTTTACAGCATGAAATATTAGTTCATTGAAATCATAACTGGCACTTTGCTCTGCTACTATTCTAGCCAGATGGAATTTATGAATTGTGAGATTGATTTCCATTTCCAAGAGTGTTTAAATACGTTATGTACCTCTTTCCAATAGAGCACCACCCTTGACAATTCAGAGATCAATAGGAACTTCAATGGTTTTATGTTTCCATGTAAGTATCTGGTAACAGCAGCAGCTCAAGCGGCTTCTACCGCATGTGACGCTAGAATGAAAACAAATGCAGATATTGCAGGAACAGCTTCATTACCATGACTCCTGCACGAACAATGGTTTGGTGTCCTTTAGCTTGCAGGTTTTAAACACAAGTGTTCAACTCCAGCAAATGTCAGCGCTGTCTGTCACTGCCCTGCACTGAGACCACGCAGAAGTGTATTTAATGTCAGCCACTGCGGCGGATGGCAAGGGAGAACCGAACAGGGGGAAACCTCAATAGTTTGAAATAGAATTAACCAGCTGTACAATGGAAAACACACGTTATTCCCAACTAGGCTTATCTGTTAAAGGCATTCATGGAAGGCAAATGAAATGACAGAAACTCGCCTGTTACCACAGGCTTTTGTCACAATGTAGGCACAGCCCACAAGGTGAACTCAGCAGACCCGAGCAGGTTTGGTGCTGCTGCCCTATGCCAGGGCTGCAGCCTGTGCTGGAGTTAACCCCACTGCAACGGCAGGAAAACGACATCTGACCACAGGTGCCCTTTGGCCTCAGCTCTGAATGCTGATAAATCTTTTCCAACCCTGGAACACTAATAGGTTCCTGTGTGGTTACACCTGGAGAAAAGCCTAGAGCAGACTCAGGCAGAAGGGCAGGATGCTAATTCACTGGAAACTCACTGAGGAGAGCTCATTTACTCTTTCAGCATGATGTCTTAAATTCAGTTGTTTGGCGTATCTCCTAATTTTTAACACTACTGCCAAAAAAGTGAAGGAAGAGGCCAGTTAATGGCATAACCAATAGTCCTTCCCAACCCAGCAGCACAGCCCCATGCAAACCTGCTGCTCGTGTTTCTCCTCTCCACCTTTCCCAGGTTAGGTGAAACTGTGTTTGTGCAACCTCCACCCTGTGCTTCATCCCCCCAGCTTCTCAGGGTTTCTGTGTTTCCATGCAGGAGGTAAGAAATACTGCTGAATTACAGCTTCCAAAATGACTGACTAAACGCGCTTACACAGTCACTGGTAAATCTTGTGCTAATTTCTGCAAGTTACAGTCTTGGGAAAATACACAAAGCCTCTTCAGTCCACCATCCTTCACTTGAAACAGGTGAAAAAATGGTTCACTTCCCAGTCCAAGTAATAAAACTCTTTATCAGAGTCTAAAACACACACTTCTTGCCTGGAAACCATTGGAAGGATGTGAATTTGCACGAGACGAGATTTCTAACCGTATCTGCCAAGACAAGAAATACTTTTTCTTTTCCCCCCTCATTTCCCAGTTCAGCCTGTGTCAAGCCCCTCACTTTTGTCAATGCAAAAAACCCCCAGTATGCACTGACTTAAATCACTAATTAGATGGAGGATGAAAAGAACATGCATGAATTGGACAAAACAGAAAACAAACACTGGGAAATGCAAATTTATGTTAATTTTTCAATATACCTTGATGATTGCTTTGTTATTACAGGGCCATAAGGCAGAAGTCAACAATTAAGAGTTATTAGTGGAATAAATAGCTAGAGAAAGACCTCTCTGAAGAACAAAACACTTACGAGCATCATTTCACATCACAGAAATCACGACTGCAACAGGACCAAACCTTGAAACCTCTTCTCACAGTCTCAGAAAGGATTACAAAGAACTAGAAATCTACTAGTAAAAAGGCAGAGAAAGATGAAAACAAAATACACACAAGCAACGTTTCTGCACAAAGGCAAATGTACTTAAAACACTGCATGAAATGGGGTAACCTCTGCTCACCAACCACTGTTACGCTTAATCTAAAAGCTTTGGGGAGGGATTTGGTTGTTTGAAATCCACATGTGCTACCCCAAAAATGATGCCATGACCCTGGAGCACGGCCTGAAGGTCCTACAAAAATGCAAGCATTGCATCGCCATCAAAACATCCATCCTGACATCCTCTAATAACAAGAAGACTTAGAAGTTTTCTTCTAAGGGGATGTCACAAGGAGCACCACAGCCATAGCTGGATTATCAGGGATATACCACTAAGCTCGGGGTGAGACACAGACTGAACGTTGTCTTGAGTGTAGAAGTGGGGTTAAACTCATTTTAGAGGTGATGGTGGCAGTCAAGGTTATGGATGAAATCCTGACCCCAACAATACCAGTGGAGCCACCGATGAGTTCAGACTGCACACCATGTACCTGTGATGGATCTTTAAACCAAGGCAAGTAGAAACAGATGATATGAATGTTAAGAAAAAAAAACAATAGTTGCAGTCCTGCTGGCTTGCCCCATTCTCTCGGGGAGCAGCATATTTCATGAGCACTCTTCCTACAACTCAGGGGTTTATATTCTACTGTAAGCTTATTATAAAACATTGCTATTAATGGATGTCTTGTTTCCAGATGTCCTGAAAAGAGTTGCAATTAAAGTG